GTTGTCTTTTCTTTTCTTTTTTTTAAATCGTTGTAATTTGGAAATGAGATCGCAAATAAGTATGAATTGAGATCGCGATTTTCTAACGATTAATCGTGCAGCCCTATTTTAAAGTGAATTATTAAAAAAAAAAAGACCTCCATCTTTTCACTCTTGGACTTATTAAGATTGGCTTTGTATGATTCACCATTCAAAATAATCCTCATTTATCTTATTTATCCTCCGCAGCACAACCCTCTTCTGATTGGGTGTCCCTGACACACAGTAGGTTTCAATGCACCTGTGTAAGGCTCCTCTGCGCTGTATCTGATGCCGGTGGTCTGCTGCTAGTTTATAGAGGGTCTTTGGGTCCTTCACGTTTCATGAGATGCTCTGTAGAGAAGTGTCAATGTGACCTGCAGTTTTGTGCAACCAGTGTGCCAAAATTCGCATGAATGCTTCAGATGGATTCCAAAAGGACATGAAGGACTACTCATCCATGGTGTCCACAGCTGTCCATGTGCATCTCCACAAGCAAGTATAATCCTGGACTGAGATGGTCGTACTGAGCACATCCGCTCTCACTGACACTGACATCAGATCCAGGAGTTAAAAAAAACACTCCAAACAGAGCTCTTATACACATCTGGAGCCGGAGCTTTTGGATTATTTGTAGATGCATCCCCCTGATTTTTGGAAACTTTTGCCATGTTTATTAAGCGCGAGGTGAAGCACAACAAGTCCACTTTTTTAAAAAAGATCCACAAGTCTGTGTGCGAACATACAGACTTCTTTAGGCAAATCAATACTTGGCCCAGTCATTTTGGCCCAATTTACCAAACTGACTGTTTTCCTTACCAATATTCGGCGGGCTCCCGTAGATAACAGGTGGCTCCGGTGGACGTCCACAGTGCAGCGCAGCCAGCGCTGAGCCTTTCCACACAACATGTTTGCAACCTGGAATTTACACACACAGCACAGATGCATAAGCACATGCACAGCTATAGTTAAGTGGGTGTTGTGCATGTTGATCTGGATGTATGCAGTCATATTTGCATAACCACGCAAATGTATACATTCACCCTATGTCTTGGTAAGTCAGCACTTACACGCAGGAAGCCACAGACATTGAGCGAGTGGGTGTTTTTGCGCGTGTGTATATTTAAGTATGCAAATGCAAATGCACTGCACGTGAACTCACTCTTGGCGGTGCGGAGAAGATTCTGTCTGCCAGCTCCTAGAAGGCTGGTGAGTCCAGGCACACTGGCAGGGACCTCCCTCTCCAGCAGCGGACAAACTCTGGTGCAGACCTGCAGCAGGTGGTCTGGCGTGATGTGCCTGTAGAGCTTTACCTGAACACAAGCATACACTTGATTTAAATCCGTCTTCAGGCTGGTAAATGACCACAAAAAACAACTACTGCTAGTGGGGGGAGGGTGGTAGAGTTTAAAAAAAAATTAAAAAGGAAGCTGAGAGAAATGTGCTCAAAGAGCTTTCCTGCCAAAAGCTGCTGTGTCAAGACATCAAACCCCCACCAGCTGGATGATTTCTGCTGCTCGAACCCGACGACGGTGGTGTGAAAAAGAAAGCGTCTCAGTGGAGGTACAAATGGGTCCACATCACTACGCCAAATTTCACACAAAAATCTACAAATCTATCGGACACATCAGGGGGTGAAAACATGTCAGAAGGCAAACAGCGGCTGAAAAGTAGAGGGAAATTGAAACTTTAATTTCAAATTCAAGTATTTCCAGCAAACAGAAACACTGAAAAATCCAGGCCACTTCCACAAATGAGTGTTGAGAATCTTAAAGTGAAGGCCCCTCTGCTCTCTGAGTGTGTCAGAGGAAACCACACTAAACCGTTAACAGATAAATTAACAGATAAGATCCTCCTTTTTTTTAAAAAAAACTGCAAAAATAAAAATACAACCTGAGACATATTTATACGCTAAAATGAAAAAGATGAAGGCTTTTAAATGGTGCGGCTCCCAGCAGCATACGCACTACAACAGCAGAGAATTGAGGGAGGGGGTGTGGCATGCAACATAAGGATGAAGCAGAAACCTACGCTGCTATAAACACACAGCTTCTCTGATTCCACTGACACATGGGGACCCTCCTGCGTGGCCTACTTCTAAAGAAACATGCACGCCTGAATGAGTGGAATGGCACGCACGAGCCGGGATGAAAGCGAGACACGGAGGGGAATAATGCAGCATGCAGCAGTGTGTTTACTTGGAGCAAGCCAGATCGCTTTAAATGTATTCACTCAAATCAGACGTGCAGTCATCGGCTTTGTTTCAGACACGTAAGCCTGAAATTAAACAATTATTCCACTCAGTCACACACACACACACACACACTTTCTCCATTCCTTTATCTGTCTCTGTGACACACACACACACACACACAATTAATGACCCCTTAATTGCTTTCAACATCCTTGCTGGTTCACAGACGTGATCAGTGTTTCTAAGTACATATCAGCCCCTCTTAGGTACACGCAGACCCACAACTGACACACACACACTAAACTAAGTGATGTGCAATAACAATTTGCTCCATTTTCCTTCCTTCTGAAGGGTAATGGATAACACTCCCCCAGCCACGGCTGCACCATCACAAAGCACATGGCCCCACACCACTACAAGTTACCCTCTATATAATCATTATTAGTATTGCTATTATTATTATTATTATTATTATTATTATTACCATCCTGCTTTCCATTCATAGCCCTACAAACATCTTTCACCTCAAGCATCACTGCCTCTGACATAGATTTGCATTCATTAAAATGTATTATTACTGACAATTAATCCATTAATAAATGAGTCTAAACACATTTGTGCTGATAACGATGCAGGCTTCCACTTCCCCTCAAAAACACGGCCGTATTTCATTGCGCTTCGTCTTCCTGATCAGTTTGAAATGCGACACGAAAGCAATCGAACATCTAACGAATCCGCCTTCGTTAATTAGCCGCAATTAATATCGTTAATTATTACAATATCATTGTTGAGTCCTCATTGATGCCCAACCCCCTTCTTTAACAGCGTCCCCCCCATAGACATCTAACTACAAACGCCCACAAAAAAAATAATAAATAATCATAAATAAATAAATAAATCCAGCCGATATCCTGCCCTCCTGCCTCTAACCTCCCTGCTTCCGCTTGGTCTAATAATTAAAACCCCTCCGCAGTATTTTTTTTAATACGGGAAATTATGCACAATAGACTGGAGGCAGGCTGAAAGACTGGGGACGGGAGGAGGAGGAACGGAGAGCCCAGCGAGCCAAGCAGGAAGAGAAGAAAAAAACACACTCATACGAGCGGGCAGAACGACGCTGTCAATAATTTCTTAAACCTATACATTTACACGGCGATCAAGCTGCACTTTACGCCATCTAGTTCCGCGTGTGCTTCGGGACGTGAAGACGGAAATCGTCCCCCACAAACATTATCTCGTAGATTAACCAGGTCGCTGTTTTTTAAAATCAGTATTAAAATAAAACTTTTAAAATAACACAAAAAGGAAAAAAAAAAAGATAACAGGGAGTGCGCGCTTTTAGCAGGTCTGTCTCGGAAACAAATATGTAAGAGGATGGTGAATTCACTCCACGCCCCCATGCGTAAAAACGCCGCTTTCAGGCGAAAGCCCCGTTTGTTTACATGACAATTAAGCGCTCCAATTAATAGCGCGATTATAAGACATCAAGCTGAACGTTACCTCGCATCTTCACACCGACTGATCCTTCCTCTGCTTTTCCGTCCGAGCTCGCACCAAAACAACCCTCTCCCCCAAAAAATAAAAAATAACCACTCCACAACAACCTCAAAGAACAGGGGGCGAGCCGTGACTCCGGCTATACTGACTATACTCTTTATATTCCCCACGAATAAAAAAAAAAGTCCTGTTTTCTAACTCTTGTGCCCCCCTGTGTGTTTTCAACCCATGCACACAAATTATGGTTCTTGCAGGACAAGAGCGCCTCCATCTCTCTCTCTCTCCTAGAGGCTCGTGGCGCAGGGAGTCCCTCCTCCGGATCCTGGCGCTCCTACACCACAACACTCATGACGTATCAACATTTCACACACATTTTTCACCAACAACTCTCGCAACCTTTTGGACATGCATGGCCACCAAACTCGCACACCGTGGCGCACACAAGGTTGGGACCCGAGCCCCTTGTAAGTGCTCCAAAAAGAGCAGCTTCCCTCCCCCTAAAGCCTGCAGCCGACTCGCCCTGCAAAGTCCTTCTTCAGTTTGTGCTCCACCACCTGATTTAAAAATTGCGGGAAATTCAATTTTTATTTTGCTCTCTAAAAACTTTTTCCTCAGTTATACAGCACCCTTACCAAATTTTCGTACGTCCCGGGGTGTTCCTGCCCCGTCCAGTCCAGCCTTTTGGGCAGCAGCTGAGGTGGAAAAACAGTGTGGACCGTGATCATCCAGTTTATAGACGTTACAGGTGATGTTTTAAAACAGTAAATGGTAAATCAGAGTCAAAGCAACATCACAAAGTACAGTGCAGAGAGAAGCATCACTCTCGTGCTGCTGACTGCTTACCTCCTTCTCCTCCACCTCCCTTATCAGGGTCTGAAAATAGCATAAAAATACAGAATTACACCTCGTGACAATTGCCGACATATTATAAATTCTCCTAAAATGCGAAAACACCAACCTCGGCTGCTTTTTGACACGGTCCAGCTTCTAGAAATCGGGCTATTAGGAAGTACAGTTCTGGTATGGTTGGAGGGGGAGAAGAGGACGGGAGCTGCGTTAGAAGAGGGCACCGAGGAAATTGGGGGGATATTACAACGACCGTGACATAGTTTCCGATCTCCTTTACTCACCAGAAGTCAACTGCGCGATGTGTGTACTGTCTGAAGCCATTTTGGTGTTGTTTGCCAGGGCAGCGCCAGAGCCTGTGTGGTGGGTCTAGGTGGCTGCCCTGTAGCTGTCACTGTTTATCCACCAGGAAGAGGCTGCCTCCATTCAGCTTCGCTCGCACGAAGTCCCGGCTGCGGGAGTATACCTCCGCGGAGCGATAATTAGTGCGCGCTGAAGGCTTCACCCCGCCAAACACCGCCTTCCTTTAACAAAGACCGAATGGCTAAATTGTGGCTGTACTGAGCGCCGACTGGGGCGAATTTCACTTACGACCGGTTTGCCGTGGAGGCATGTTTGTTTTAATCCCCCTCCCCCTCAAAGGAAAAAGCGCAAGCCCTCTGCGGAAGAATACAGGCGCTGTGTCTCACGTACGCCGCCGTCGAGGGGAGGTAGAAATGGCAGCCTGCTAAAGGAGAGGACACATTGCTGCAGAATGGCTGTTATTTTGTAACTAGACGGCATTTATCACATTTTTATTCATTAGAGTCCATTCCTCTGTCATTTAGTGTCTATTGCGGATTACCACAGCCTAATTCTTGCCATATTTTTTTTCTGTATATTCGTAGCTGGCGGGTTCAGAACATGGCTCCCGTGTTTGAGAGGGATTTACAGGCGAGCAAACGTTTCAGCTTAGTTTATCATTATTATTTTTTATTATCAAACACCACAGCTAGCCTGCTCTCTTATCAGCTCTCCGTGTTCTTGCTGCTGGTCTCGCTTGTCGTAACTTTGTCGCTATTGTGTAATAAGATGTCCTAGCTAACACACCCACTCTCTCAGGGAGCCGTTTGGTGGGGAAGTCGTCCATTTCTCTTCCAAATACTACCAGGCAATAAAATGGGGGAAGGGTTGGAGAAGGGGAATGCAGCTTAATGAATGAAACCCCGTGAGTTACAGCAATTTAATGGCAACCGAGACACTGAGACAAGGCACACACATCAAGGGGGATTATCAAGGAAATGCATGACAGGATACCTCAGTGACAGCTGTGAATGAAAAAAAAGGAACAGCAACTCTTTGGTGTTAATTTTTACTTTTTTTTAAAGTAAACTCACAATAATATTTGTGCAAGGGACGTACATTATAGTTTTATTAAAAGCCACTTCACCAATGACAAACAACCCCTTCTGGTCTAATCTTACTTCCCACATTTAATGTTTACTGCTGCAAGTAAGACACAAATGAAAGTGAAGGTAAATACACACCACACGTGTTTCAGATCATTTTACAACAGTTTGGAGTTTTCTTTTTTGAAATATTTTGCCACATATCTTCTGTTTTTTTTTCTCTTTTCACTCATATCTATAGCCTACATGTGTGAAGTTGCCTATGTGGTACAATTGAGCTAAATTGAAATATTCACACACACTTACAGTTGCATATAATTCAGTCTACCTGCACAAATGATTAACACTAGTACAGAAACATTTCACCTCTACATTTTAATTTCTTCTTTATAAACTATTTCAAATCTAACACATCAACAGTGCATCTGGGAAGATGCTATAAGGCTTCGTGCTTCTAAGAGTCAACTTAATTTTTTTTTGTCTAATTTAAACAGAGTAATGCTAATTCTATTTGTAAAACTAACAAGGTGTAACTCAAATAAAATCAAGTGTAACGCACACAAATTCGGTCTGTATCGACACTTTCCACAACTTTGTCATTTATGTTGCATCGTTTGGCAATTACGGGTTCATTTTGTCAACGTTAAACACAAATAATACATTTATAGGCTGCCAGATGGACAGGAACTCAACAGAGAGTGTTCTCATCACCAGTGGCTACACCACCTACCATTATTCCATGTCAAAAGCGTTCTGGCAGATAGGTGGGTGGACGATTACTCTGAGAGGAACGAGCAATATTTGAGCTTTTCAGAAATCCACTTTAGTATTCTGACCCTCCACTGACAGTTTTCGATCTTCTCTTCCAAATGTGCGCATCGTATCAGGCCACATTAAACTCGTCCATCCGTGGACTTCACTGATTGGGTGTAATTTGACCAACAAATTCTGTATATATATTTTTAAAGCACAAAAAAAACCCTCAAAATAATACTTAAAATATTTAGATGATCAGTTATGGGTTTTTCAGCCTAATCATTAACTTGTATTTTACCGGTTGACCTGAACCCTTATGACTAAGTTTATTGTGTGACACCACCACAAGGAGGCAACCTCACCATGTGTCACTTTACAGGCCAAAGAGGAGTCAAAGGTTATGAAAAGATGCAATCAGTTACAGATTTTCTTTTACTATAAATAGCTCACTGATAAATACTGATCACATTAAAAAAAGAGATCTGAAATGGTTTGAGGTTATCTTGACAACAGTCCACACAGAGATACTTGCAGATCCACACCCTTTACTAAACGTTGCCAGATAGCTTAAAAATCCTGTGAGGTGTGGAGAATTACTTGGCTTCAACACTCTTTCCCTGCTAGAGACAATCGTCAGACAATCAGGACTCTGATGTCTTCACTAGTTAGAAAACAGAAGTTTCAGCTCATACTAAGTACTTTTGCAGCCACGTAACCTTTCTCATATCTTTAGTCTGGATTCAATGGTCTGCTCTGTGGGTTAATACAGTGGCTCTTTTTTAAGTGTCATGATCAAGGTTAAGTAAAACTAGGTGTGGTAAAACATTTTAGTTAACCCCAATGAAAATACTAAAAAATAATCGAAAAAACATGAAAATAAATATTATAGCGGGCGAATCTTTCACTACTTTTGTTGAGATTTGTCATGTTTACAATACTGTGAGTCTGCTACGTTCACAGAGGGTTGTGTTTGCATTGCTACACTTTTTCTGAATTAATGAAATTGTCTCATTTTCAAATTCCCCGCATATTTGAGTAAGTAAAGATGCTACAGCTAATAAAAGCAAATAAAACCACCTGAAACATGAGTCAAAAAAAGGTAAATAAAATATTAAAAAGTAATAACAAAATATAAAACTATATCGCTAAGGGTGGTTCAGTGGTTTGCACCATAACATTGCATCTAGAAGCTCCTGGGCTGATGTGCCCTGCTTTTGGTCCCATGACAGCTGGGATACATTGAAAATAAAATTCTGGTCAAAATGCTTTAACTAATTTAATCACATGTAAATTATCCACATAATTTTATATAATGCAAAATGATAAATTTAATCAAATCTGCTCAAAAGAGATTTACTTGATTGGTGTACATTCAGCTTCTACGGCTCTTTAGTGTTTCGGGTTCTCTGTCCTGTGTTTGTCTTTTATGTTTGCGATTATTTTAGAGCACTTTGGTCGGCCCTGCTGTTTTTTAAAGCACTTTATAAATAAAGTGGTATGGTTAGGTAAGCATTTGAATAAATCAAACTTTTTATTGTATATATTTCAGTTTCATTTTACTCAAAATGATTATTTCATGTTTACTGAAGGTGAAAAATCATTTTTTGGGAGTTGGCACCACAACCCTAAACTGGTTAAGTAGTTAAGAAAATAGATACATTGTTGTTTAACAATGAATTAAATGAACTTGTAAATTAAACGTGACCAAAAAAGGACACTAGAAGGACATATTTGCACAGAGTTGGAACTTTCTGATACATTGCACTCATTGATTCTTTGTCTTAAGTAATTTTATGTATATTTTTTAAATGAACCTTTTGAAAACCCTGGAGGTCCCACAGCAGCACACCAAAGTACCTATAGGGGTGACACTGGGTTAAAAGGTGTTTCCCACTTAAACACATTATAGCAATATTAGTGTTTTACAGCATCCAACAGCTGAATGGTGATAAAAAAAGCATCATGTTGTTGACCGAGGCTCATCTCAGTACAGTTTTGTCTCCTCAGTATGTGGCAGTACCTGCACAGACATCATTTCACCTCTACATGCTAGAGGGGAAAGGAACTGGCTATAGGCCCACAAGTGTGAGTGACAGGTTGTCCTGCAATGGAGAGACCCAACACTTTCACTGGTCCCACCACTCTGGCAAATGCTGACCTTTCACTTCCTGACGCAGCAGTTGTATTTAACACAGCCACGTGCCCCTGGCGACCTCACACACATGCACACAAAAGTGCACACAGACACAGAGTGGCAGCTTTGTGTCGGTTAAAAAAAGTACTTGTAAAACCTGAACACAGAGAGGAAAAGCAGCCTGTGTGCAGGCATACAGTTAAAATACAGCCTACTAGTGTCTGGGGAAAAACAAAACAAAACATGGCACTGCTGTCCAAATGCAGAACCTATTTCACAATGTTTTTATTTACCAATGAGTGAAGAGACGCTAAAAAAAAAAAAGAGTCCCACGAGACATCAACTTTTTCTTTTATTTCAAAATATTCTCCCAACAGGATGAAACTCAGAGAAGCCCAGAGGGTCCAAAGCCAATAGAGCCGTCTAGAACAGAAGCACCACTCATTATTGCTATGTCACTCTGCTGCAGGACAAGGCGTTCAGGGGAGAGAGAAAAAGAAAGAAACAAAGGAAAGGAAAGGGGGAGGAAACAAAGTCAAGCACAGAGACTCACAAACACATTCACTCCAGTATACACATACAAAAGGAGCTATGTGAAACACAGTGGTGGTGACTAAAAAGTAAGATTTTTAAAAAGCTGCAGATGTTCTCCATGGTGACTGTGGAACTGGTTTCTTGTGGCTCTGCAACCAAACTGTTGATGTGCTCACCTTAGCCGTAAGGGGGTTACATCATGGTGTGATTGCAGGCAAAGTGCCAGTAAGTGATGTATTATAGAGAAGCATAACTACGAACGAAGGTAGAGCCGGTTTATAGATTTAAAAAAAGTCTTGTTTACAGCTCCTCTCGGGCAAAACAAAGAACATCTACAGCTGTGTGATAAAAACCACTTCATTCTGCCTTTCTGCTTCTAAGAGGCATACAGTATAGCAATACAGAATGCTGGGGGGAGAATGGAGCAAAAACAGGAGGTGGGGGAAGGAGTGCGAAGATACGGGAGGTGGGGCTGCTGGTTGTCCATCTCTACTATCACAAGTCTAAAAAAAATTCAGCATGGTACAAAATCGTCAGTAAAAAAAGATGCTTTGCTGCCATGGAGTCAGAGGGGGCGAGTCGATGGACGCGCCCGTGCCTTTACGCCTTCTCCTCGGTCGCCTCTTCTGCTGCTTCAGTTACCTGGAGGTGAAAAACACACATGCAGGTGTAGCCATTATTTACCCCAGGAGACGTAAGAGGGCCAATGAGGTACACGGAGGGGAAAACACAACCAGTAAGTTGTAACCAACAGTGAGAGATTTATTACTTGAACAAGACTGTGGTCAGGGTCGTCCACAAAGCCGAAGGCTGAAACATGTTGGTCGAGTAATAAAGCTTCAGCCTTTTCAGACCCTTGTTTGTCTGCATGCAACTTGGAAAAAGTCAAAGTTGAGGTCTGTTGATGCTTTGCAGGCAACCCTTCAAACAGTGTAGATCCAAACTTATTTTGCATAAAGATCACTTAATGTTTTGGTTTATTGTCTGTAGAGTAAAAGGCTTTCCAAATGAGTTAAATGGATGGTTTTGCTAACAACTACAGGGAGTTATAGGGATGCTTGTCTGTGTAGAAATTCTGGGCTTATAAATATTGAAAAAGTTGAGCTAATGTGTTTTTTCACACCTTTATTAGATAGTTTTCACTGAAGAGAAGACAGAGAGCAGGTAGGACATGCACCAAAGCGGCTCGGGTCAAAAGCAAACCCGATGCCGCTTTGGCCTGGCAGCATTTGGTTGCCGCCCCAACCACTGAGCTAAATCAGCACCTGATTTATTTCACTTTTGTCGTATCGTTTCCTCGTTTTCTGCTGGGGATGCCAATAACTAGTTGCTATTTTAGTCTTCTTGCATTTTGTCATACTGTCTTTAAACATTGAGTGTAACAAAGGATAAACATCAGGTCACATCTTGGGTGTGAGACTGCGCTAAGTCTGTAAAATAAAAGCTATATAAATGTCATATTTTTAAACTCTTACCTAGAAGTCTTGTTTGATTCTTTACATTCAGGCTAGCGCATGTCTTTTTTAGGTCTTTACCAGTCTATTAGCATAAACATTTATGACAACCAACAAATGAAAATTATTCAAAAGTAAAGAACAGACGGCAGGAACACGGTTTGCCCAGCTATTAGCACTCTGCAACTGCCAAGTTGGCAACAAATGTTTGGAACCCCACAAACACAACAAACGGCAGAGTTGAGCAGAGTGTAAACGAGTAAATAAATAACTACAGATAAGGGGTGGGTGATATTTCCTCAAAATTTCAAGAAAATTTATAATGATGATATTTCTGACGATAGAGAAAAAACAACACTGAACTACATTTTATTGATGCTAGCAGACAGCTGCGTTTCTACATTTTCCATCCTTTGTATCCAATGAGCCGTTGGCACTGATGGCACACTTCCTAGTTTGAAGTATTTAAACAAGGTGCCTAAGTAGTTTCCTCACCGGACATTTTAAGTATAAAATAATTGCATAACGCTTTACTTTAACAATAACTAAAAATAAATTACATAATAAAAATGTTAAATATTTTCTCCATTGTATCTTGAACGAAGCCTTTTATTAGCTCCGTACAGTAATTTCCACCCATCGTTTCCTTTTCCTCTCATACGGAGTGCAGCTAGCACTAGCATGGAGTCATTTATGACAAGATAAGCAAGATATTGTGATATGACATTTTTCTACTACATAATAATAATACTACGGGATTATTGTGGATGTTGCTAAATGCCGCAGCCCTACTACTCATGACAAATTATATATTTCATGTATCCTAAAGAAAAAATATTTTGACTTATTTATCATGATTTTTATCTCAGACTTTTAAATGACCAAATATTGGTATCAGTATCGGTCTTAAAAATACTTTATTGGTCAAGCTGTAATGCTGTACCACTCATTTTTCTTAGACTGCACTTCTTAAATGTAGCCTATTATTGCTTATACTGACAAAAAGTTACAGATGGGAGGAACTAGGGATCAATCAACCAACCTCCCGATCAGTAAACAGCGCTTGAATCAAGGCCATCTATGAGCTCGACACCACTTTTATGACTATATGCTGAATATTAAGCCAGAAGTAGCAGGTGGTTGGCTAGAAATGAACTACAGTCAGGAGATAGCTTAGCTTAGCTTAGCATAAAAGCCACATACAGAAATAAAATTAGATGGCTCCATCCAAAGCTGTCAAGATTCACCTGAACACACCAACAAGCTATTTCTATGGGCATTCAGACTTTAAAGGGGTTTAAACATCCACTTTGCAGCTTTGAACTTTTCATGACATCTCCCAACAAAGGTGCATATGAGTACACAAACTCACAAACTGCTCTATCCAGGCAGAACATCACCTTAAACCACATGGAGTATTTCTGGTAGGGTAGATGCATCTGAAGCTGACTGTTTCCTGCTGTGGTTTACATGTCAGAAAGAAGAACTGTCAGAAATATCCCAGCCTGATTCTTCCCATTGTTCATGTGTAAAAATGGCTTATGCTAAGCTAAGCCTGGCTTCATTTGTACTGTACAGACACACAGAGAAAGTGCTATATTTTTTTTTTTTCATAAGGTAAAAGCAACTTATTTATCCAAATGTCAGGCTCTTTCTTTAATGGCTCAAATCATTTCCCCAACAAAACACCACATTTACTCACTTACTGCCAGCAGTGGCTGATTTCTATTTATGGACCTCTCAAACCTCCAGTAAATAAAAGCAGAACTATCAGTACTGTGATTCGACCAAAGTCAACCTTCAATAAGAAATTTACAAAGTCAGGCAGGTCGGTGTTCATGAGTTTCAAGGTAATATATGACCTCATTTGCCAATGAGGAGCTTCAAGCTGTTAGCTGTTAGCTCAACTCATCACTCGTTTTTTTCAAGCTAAAATTTTGCAGCGGCACAATTATTTTATCTTACTTACTTTTTACATTCTCTCCTGACTTAGCAAAAATAAACTTAGCTCTCAGCTCCTCTGAGAGCTAAGTTCAGCACAGCCAGGTTTTCTTTGTGTTAGTTGGTTTGACCAAACCTAACACCCTCAGAGGCAACAGGTACCACAATAGTGGTTAACAACTTTTTTTGTTAACTCAGGCACATCAGACAAGTCAGTTGACTGAGCACCGATTATAAAACAGTGCAATGCAACACTGTACCAAACAAGACGACAGTGGTGCTGAGAAAAAGGATCATTTTGGGAATCTGTGATCATCACAAGCGCACAGAGCAGAAACATAATCCTACCTGGCACTCTCGCTGTGCGGTTGTTGGTTAGAAACGTAACAACTGCACATCACAGCTCTGATGTTTTTAAATGAATACTTTTAAACAAAGGTCAGGGTACAGTCTGT